CACTTCCTTCCGCCTATAGATTGACACGTGGTCGGGTCCCCGCAGAAGACTGTCCCGCGGCATTGGCTCATCGCCCCCATCTCCGCCCAATCCATAATCTTGCAGGCCGCTCCAACACCACGGAATCCTAGGCGGCTTATTGCCTCAGATACGCGCGCGACGCAGTGTGGCTCTGATTGTGTATCAGATCCCTCGGGCGCCTCAAGATTCGCGCCCCCAGATCCACCGGCACGGTCGCGGCAGATTATTAACACCACACGAGCACTTGTGCCAGCCTGCCCACTCCCAGACGCCGTCATATCCGTATCGGATGAGCCACGGAAATCTCGTCCCGAATCGACGTCGCATGACGGCGTCGCCGAAACCCCATCGTCATCAGCACCGTTGTCGTCACCGTTGCCGGAATCGTCCAGATCCAACAAAGGATCAGTATAAACATGCGAAGGAGAGGAGAGATTACCTTCTTCGCCTTGCACGACCTCAATCTCGTCGATGTTCATGCTAGCCATGGAAAATTTTTGAGTGTTTGCAACAACAAGTAAGAAACGAGGTTGTAGAAGAAGGAGAGGAATCTCGAAGATAAACCCAATGTAGAGAAACAAGAAGCAGAACTCGAAGAAGCAGAATGAGTTTCAACCCCCCGATGGCAGACTATTTATACTTGAGAAAGGAAAGCTGAAAGGTCAGAGTCTTTTTGAATTTCAAAACGACCGCCAAAGCCTACCATTCATACAAAGACACGTGGACACCTAGTATCGATATAGGCACTAGCCGATGACGTCACAAGCTCTGCGCATCGCCTGGGGGGCATGGCACACCCGCGGAGGAGAAAGAACACCCTCAAAAGTCCAAGCTCAGTAAAAGGCATCACGCGCAGCCGATACGGAAAATCTCATGAAGATCGCGCGAACCCGAGTCAATCGCACGGAAATCAAACAACCATCAGCCCGAAAAATCTCATGAGAATCAAGCAAACCTGAGTCAATCGTGCGGAAATCAAATGGCGCCAGCCCAAAAAAAAAAGCTCACAAAAATCACGCGGACCCGAGTCAATCACGCGGAAGTCAAACAGGCGGTATTCGCGGAACACCCCATGATGGGGGGCAATTGTTGGGTATATGACTCGGATCTCACCGCTCCAAGGAAACACCGACGCACCGCCACCAGAGGAGTTGGGCGCGTTACTCTGGTGGGCGAGGGGACCGGTCTAGACCTCTGACATGTACTCGCGTTAGTCCTAGGTATAATAAAAGACTAAATGTACTTGTCCTAGGTAGAGGTATGGTCTAGACCTCTGACATGTCAGTAGTCATGTCACCATGTAACTCACCCACCACCATATAGTCTATAAATATGGCATTTACTCTGGTGGGTGAGTGGATCAGATTTTTTGGACTCTATCTCTAAGAAAAGAACAAACTTCTCTCTCTAAAAGAACTCTCTCGACTTCATTCTTCCTTCCCTTTGTTCTTAAATTCAAGGTTGATTCTCGTTGCTTATTCTCCTCGACCCATTCTCGTGAATCTCACTCCTACACTCAGTTAGGTTCAAACAGAAACCTACAATTTTAATGTCATTAGAGAATTTGGATCATGAATCCAAATCAATATCATTTACAGCAGTGGCTACCGAGTTCTTTAAAATGGTCAACATCCAGTTTAATAAGCAGGTGAAGGTTGTTCGATCTAATGAAGGTTGTGAGTTTAACTCCCATCCGTTGCTGGGTTTATATCGATCTCTTGGCATTCTGACACAAAAAGCATACCCTGGTGTGCAACAACAAAATAGCATAGTTGAACTAAAAAATCGCCATGTTATGGAGATCACTCGAGCCTTACTTCTCGCATCTCATGTGCCTCCTCGTTTCTGGACCAAGGCAGTGGCTACTGCTGTTCAATTAATGAACTATCAGGTTACTCCCGTCCTTCCAAACTTGAGTTCTCACTTTTCTCTCTATGGTACCATCCCGATTACTCTTCCCTTCCTGTCTTTGGCTCTACGGTGTTTGTTTTGCTTACTCGTCATGAACATAACAAGTTGTCCTCAAAATTGTTTAGATGTGTCTTCTTAGGATATAGCTCTGTTCATAAAGGGTATCTATGTTTCCATCCAAAGCAAGATCGTATGCGCATCTCCTGTAACGTCATGCTTTTTGAACACTTGCCCTTCTTCTCCTCGAGTCCGAAGTCTCGTTCCTTTGAGTCTTTCCTAAGTCAGCTTCCCATGTTCACTGATCCCCTGGAGACTCCAGCCATGCATTAAGAACCCGATCCGCCTTCCCCAGCAGCAACATCATCCGCGTCCAGCTCCACCTCACTGCCTTCCGGCTCGGGCTCTTCTAGTTCTTCCCACAGCTCAGCTTCCCAGCCTTCTAGTTCTGGTTCGTTCTCGTCGGCTGAGGGGCCTTCACCACCTCCTCTTTGTCGCTCACAACACGCAAATTTGGGCCAGCCTCCTATCCGGTATGGTGATTATGATTATTTTTATAATGTGGCTTCAATTCCTGTTCCTACTCGCTATGCGCAGGTTGCTGGTAATCCTCTGTGGGATAATGCTATGAACGAAGAGTTTAAGGCTCTTCATGCTAATGAAAACTGGACCGTGGTTGATCTCCCAGAACCTTCCAGCCTATCATTGGGAGACGATGGGTTGATACGATTAAAGTCAGGTCGGATGGGAGTCTTGAACGTTTTAAAGCTCGCGTTGTTGCTCAAGAGTTCAGTCAGGTACATGGCGTTGATTACGACAAGACCTTTGCACCTGTCGCCAAAATGTCCATTGTTCGTACCCTGTTAGTTGTTGTTGCTCTCCGTCACTGGCCTACCCTACAGCTGGACGTTAAGAACGCATTCCTACACGAAGATCTCAAAGAATGTGTGTATATGGAACGTCCTCCGGGTTATACTGTTGGTATGAAGGATCAGGCCTGCCTTCTGCATCGCTCGTTATATGGTCTGAAACAAACTCCGCGGGCTTGGTTCGAGAAGTTTCATAAGACGATTCTGGATTTGGGGTTTCAGCAGAGTCTTAATGATCCGTCACTATTTGTTCGCCGCTCCTCTGCTGGATTGGTTTCTTTACTTATTTATGTTGACGATATGATTGTGATAGGTGATGATGCCGAGGGCATTGAGTATCTCAAGCGTGGTCTTCATGCGTCTTTTAATCTCAAGGAACTTGGTTCCATGGACTTGAAGTCACTCGTACACCTCACAGCATCCTGTTAAGTCAACACAAATATATTGATGATCTTTTTCATTCCACCAAGTTTGAAGATTGTGATCCTGTCGCCACCCCTATGGAACTTAATTTAAAGTTGTCGAAGGATCAATACTCAGCCTGATCTCTCATATGCGGTTCAGATCGTCAGTCAGTTTATGTCGGTCCCTCGTGATACTCACATCGCAGCTATTCACCGTATTCTTCGTTATATCTAGCATACTCGTGATCTTAATATATATTTCCCTTCAGTTGGCGAGTTATCTCTACAGGCCTTCTCTAACTCAGACTATGCTGGCTGTATAGACACACGTCGTTCGACTACTGGCTGGTATGTTCGTTTTGGTGGTTCGTTTGTGTCCTAGAGATGTAAGAAACAAGATAAGGTGTCGTCTACAAAGGCTGAATATCGATCTATGTCAGATGTTAGCTCGGAATCGGTTTGGCTTAAACGCCTTCTTCTTGATTTCAGAGTGGATGTTTCCGTCCCTATGGATCTTTATGTCGACAACATCAGCGCCTTCCAGATTGCAGCAAATCTGGTTCCCCACGATCGTACGAATCACATTGAGATTCACGTTCACTATGTTCGTGACTTAGTACGAGAAGGATCTGTTCGTTTGCACTATTGGCCTACTGAAGAACAGGTTGCCGACATCTTCACGAAGGCTTTTAGTTCTAGTCGTCATTGGTATCTTTCGCGCAAATTGATGCTTCAGCCCCTGCATCAATTTGGGGGAGGATGTTGACAATATTGGTTTCTAGTCTCATTGGGCTTTGGGGTTTGGGAATTGATGTATGTAGCCCGCGTGTAGTCCATTGGTTGATGGGTTATTGAGCCCATGCACATCTCGTGCAGACGCCTAGGGTTTCCTCACATACCCTACGTTAGGGGTGGGCATTCGGTCGGTTCGGTTTCGACTGAACCGAAATTATGAATACCGAGTCCCCGAATTCTCCCAAATCTCAAACCGAATTATAATTCGGTTCGATTCGGTTTTTAACACAAAACCGAATTTGTGAGGCTACTTGTATCTTCTCACTTTTAAATTATTTTTCACCCCTAATATAAACAATAAATATGCAATTATATGCATAATCAATGATAGAATCAAACTTTTCAACACATAAGTCTTAAAACATTTCAAATATTTAAGTATAAAAACAACTACAAACATAAAAACCCACCATTTGGAGGTTGCAATTGTAGCATTCGGTTTTTCGGTCGGAACTTCGGTTCGATTGAAAGAACCCTGATTTCCGAAATGTCCATATTTTTCTTCCGAATTCCGAACCGAATAGCATTATTTTAGTTTCGGTTCGGTTTTATTTGGTTTCAGTTCGGTTCGGGTTTACCGAACCGTTTGCCCACCCCTACCCTACGTCTAGCTTGTGTATATATATATCATTGTAACTGGTGATGAAACTAAGTAATAAGAACGTAGCTCGGAGAGTGCAACTCTCTCGTGAACTAGTACCAACTCTTGGGGAAACCATGTAAATCCAGTGTCTGTTACTCACTATTTTGATTGTTTTCGTATTTGATCTTGTTTGTTAACAGCGTTGCACTTGACAATGATGACTCGGCCTATATAGAAACGTTCTTCTTGAAGCTGCTGACCATTGATCCTCCTTCCTTGTGCAATCCTTCTCCGACATGGATTCAGTTCTTTTTATCTGATACCTAATAATGATTTTAATCGCTACTCCACAAACGGAAAAGAAATAAAAATCAAGAGTAGTTGTGGGGGAAAAAAAAAAAAAAACTGAACAAGGAGGGTTTATACGGTAACTTTGACAACAGATGGTTGTGCTTGTGTAGGTGCTACAGAAGCCACGATCATCCTCTGAGGCAAAGCCAAACTGTTGACACCAGGATGAGCGATTGTGACATTGTAGTCACCATGGAAGAGGGAAGCTTCCAGAAACCCATTTTCATCAGTTTCTCCCAATACTAGAGGCTCTTTAGAGCCGCCCCATTCTTGCAGCAGGCGGTCCACCACGTCCCCTGTTGCCAAGTTGTTGAAATTGTTATCCGTCAAGCACATTCTGTAGCAGCCTTTCGGATTCCATGCGCCCCACACCACTATCCCCTCCACCTCCGGATGCGAAAACCCCTCCCTTAGAACTTCCTCTAGGTAGATTGCCTGCCAAGGAAAGAAAAAGCCATGTTTCACTCATTCATTCTGGTAATTAATAGTATTACAGAAGCTATGTATATATGTGTTTAGTTTGGTGTCCTCACTTGTTTTGGACCTTGTTTGACATCGACTTCTGTGAGCCAAATGGGGAGACCTGCAGCAGCTAGAATGTCGATGGAGGCTCTCATGTAGGGGATGTTAGGGGTCACAAAATGAGACTCCAAGCCAATTGCCATCTTGATGTCTGCGTTACCAGAATATGCCTGGATTTCCCTCAACTTCTGCAGGTATTTTGCTGGGGTCGACATTGGATCGGTGACTTCCTCTATCGTGTTGTACTCGTTCATGAACAACGGGATCGTGCCATCAGTTCTGCTAGCCAAATTGTAGGCATGCCCTGAAGCATTCGGCCCAAGTTTGGTCTCGAAGTAGGAGAAGTGGAGATTCTCGTTCATAACATCCCACGCGATCACCTGGCCCTTGTACTTGGACATCACAGAATGAATCCTGTTATCGACAGCGACGCTGAGTTCTTGTGGGGATAGGGAATTCAGCCACCCTTGCTGGTAAGTCGGATCGTCCCACAGGACGTTGTGGCCCCGAACTGCCAACTTGTGCTGCTTGGCGAACTCGAGCAATGCGTCTGCTGCGGAGTAGTCCTCGTGGCCCCTCGTGGGTTCGGTGCTGTACCACTTCATTTCATCCTCAAATGTCGTAACTCTAAACGCTCTTGACGCGAACCACTTTTCGTAGGCGGCGTTGGTGAGGATGTTCTTGTTGATGGCACATCCCAGAGGGAAGGTCAGTGCATTTTGTTGGACGGAAACTGTTGCTTTGGGCAGGGAGTTCCCTAGCTTGTCCACTACTTGTATCCTAACTTTGGCCTTCCGGACCTTCAAATACAAGAACCCAATTCAACACTAAACAAGTCCGAACCATTGTCGGGTAGATGCCATGCATGCTTAAGGATCGAAGAAGAATAACCTTGTCCATGGTCTGATCCTGGTGAGACTTCCATTCTTCTGGAGTGAATGGTTGCAGGGAGATGCTGTCAACCATTACGTCCGCTGTGGAGTTTTGGGTCTGGAAGAAGAGAGAAGCCTCGCCTGAGGTTTCCACAGTGAGCCCACCCTTGAGCATTGACCAACACCCAGGCTTGGCAATCACGGTTCCAGCTTCAACATACCCGCTTGATGTCTTGAAAACAGCTGCCACGCTCGGGTTCCCCTGGCTCACTTGTAGCCAAGCTGCAGTGCATATACCAGGATTCGCCAACAATTAATTAGAAGAAAAAAAAAAATTAATAATAATCTTCTTCTTTTGAGAATTAAGTGTCTCACCAGAGAAAGTGTAGAGGAGGTTCGTCTTCAGCTCGACTTTCTGAGATACACTATCGAAAGGTTGAGCTCTTGTCTGAGCCAGAATGAAGCCATTGCCACTTGGGGATTCTCTGTGTTCAAGTTTGGCGTTCCCGAATGTGCTCCATCCCGCCAAACCATCATTCAGTTCAGGGTTCACTATGCCTCCTCCATTGTATTGAGCCTTTTGTGGGGTTTCTAGGCACTGGAAAAGTTCCAAAAGGAGATAGGGGAAGGGAAAACAATGACAACATATTGTTACATCACATCAATTTATTTGATTGGTATATATGGGTCATGTTTATTGATTGATAGAGAAGCTTGCCTCAATACTTGCTGTGTAGTCATAGGGTACTGCATGGGCAACAAAACCTAACAACCCAAGGAACACATTTTCTTATCAACCAATCAATCACGTGTAATCATAATAATCAATAAACCGACAAAAAGTTAACTTCAATACATACTATTCCGAAAAAAAAACTTACGTATTCTGTCATATCCATGCGTATTTTGCTATCCAATCAAAATGAGTTGAGTATGAAATCCAAATATATGGTAAATGAGTAGAGTTTGATAGGTTTGTTCCTATACCAATTTATTTGGGCTGGGTTGAGTTTTTATTCTATAGATTGGGATTTATAACCACATCCATTTGAAAATTACAGTTTGGTATCTAAACTTAATAGATCTTCAGATTTAGTACATAAATTTAATTGATTTTTTTTTTGTGTAGAAGTCCTCAAAATATTTATGGAAAATAATATTTTAGTACCTTAATTTTTTAGATATTATATTTTGATACCTAAACTTTTTAAGTTTAACAAATATTACCAATTTTTCTATTTGTAGTTAAAACACTCTCAACTAAATGGATGTACATATCAACCCATACCTATTTAGCTTATTGAAGCAATATCCAAAACCTACCCAAACCCATCTACAAAATCCCAAACACATATATACTCCACTCATACACGACCCATATATACTAAATGTGTATATCTATCATAGGTGGGTAATTGCCTAAAATAATTCAACAATCATATTCTTACATCTATCATGATAATTATTCATTTAGTTATAAGAATAAAATACAGGGTAGATACAAAATTTTAGCCAAATCTTTCGTTTTATACAAAATAATAGCCAAACCTTTCCAAAAATAATTTATTCGCCAAACCGTGAACTTTCTATCCGTTTCAGGAGGAGAGATTGTGGATTTTCCTTTTGGGCATTTTAATGATCATATAACGGATCATTTCATTACGGAACTTATGGCGCGAAGGGACACTGTTCGTTAGTATGTGTCTAATTCCCTTTTGAATGCAGTATTTTGTCGTGATGAGCAAGGGAACATTCCCATGATCAACTCGAAGAATTCTTAGCATGATTAAGGGGAAGCCATCTCCAGAAAGATTCTAGTGATGCCCTCCTCATTCCATTGATTTTGTTTTATTTTGTGTAATGTAGGCATAACAGAAATATGCCCATATTGCTACAAGTAAAGACCCTCTTATCATTGGATTGATTTTTAGTCGACTGACGTCCCTTACTGTATTTTGTTTTTTGATTGCCTGTAAAGGTCCATTGTATTATATCTTATCTTGTTGTCTTTTCTACGATATCTATGGTAATATATATGTTGACTACTTCGATGCACTCACAAAAATGAGTGCGCTCAATGCATCCAACTCAAAAACTAGTCTTAAGGTGTCGGATTTTTAATTTTAATTTATAAAATTAGTGTAATATGATGATATAACAAATGATAATAACTAATTAGTGGATTACCCTAATCCCTAGACCTCCAATTTTGAGTTCTATCACTAAACCCCAAATTGTAAACCCTAAGCCTAACCTCAAATCTCTAAACTCTAAATCCTTCAAATTAAAGTAAATCTTCAATGTTTTTTTGTGCAAATTCATGTGTGTTATTGTTCATCACATCATAAGTGATGAATGACATCATTTTGACATAAATCGCGTGTTTAAAATGACGGTTATGAAGTGTGTGCACTGAATGCACCCAAAAAAGTGAGTGCACCGAAGACGCCACCATATATATATATTGGCTTCTATCATACCCCGAGTAAAATCCGGCGTACTGAATACCTTGAGTATAAAAACGCTATATACATATCAAATTAGCAGGATTTTTGGCCTGATACTATACCCTTACACTTAATAAGTGAACCCTAGGTCCTAATTATCTAAATGATAACTATAAACCCTAAGATGGTGCATTCAATTTTTTTTTTTGCCTATATTTTGACGAATCATAACCGTGGATCATTGTTTCTAGTTAAACGAATCTTGGGTATATGATTTAGAGAATTAAGACCTAGATTTAGATCTTTATGGGTTAGTGGGTTAGAGTTATCATGTTCGAAAAATCAGTCAATTCAAAATCTGAATAGCGTTTTCATACTCAAGGTATGTGGTATCTCAAATTTCACCCTAGGTACCGTAGAACTCACTATATATATGTATATACACATTGTTAGCCTGTGTTCACACTATCATACCCCCGTTGAGTTTTACTATTTAGACCATGAATTAACTGGAGTTTGGGGCATGATACTATATCCTAACCTCTAATGGGTGAACCCCAGTCCCTAATTCTCTAATCCAAGCCACAAGAATTATTTAATCTTGAAAATTAATAAACGACGGTTCTGAGTCAAAATAACAAGTGTAAACACAGTCCTACAGCGTACGCTAGCCTTTTCCACACACACACACACACACACACACGCACACGCACACGCACACGCACGCACGCGCGCACACACACACACACGCACACGCACACGCACGCGCACACACACACACACACACACACACACACACACACACACACACACACACACACACACACACACACACACACACACACACACACACACACACACACGTATATGGGGAGTTCTACGGTACCCAGTGTGAAATTCGGGGTACCGCATAACTTGAGTAAGAAAATGCTAGCGAGAACTTCAATTGACTGATCTTTCGGACATGATACTATACTCTAACCCTTAAAGGTCACAATTTAGGTCTTAATTACTAAATTTTATACCCCAAGATTAATTTAATTAGAAACAATAATCGACGGTTATGATTCGTCCAAATATAGTCAAAATATCAATGCACCATCTTAGGGTTTATAGTTTATGATATAGATAATTAGGACCTAGGGTTCACTCATTAAGGGTTAGGGTATAGTATCATGCCCAAAAATCCTACTAATTCGAGGTCTAGATAGCGTTTTCATACTCAAGGTATGCGGGACCACAGATTACACCCGGGGTACCGTAGAAGGCACTATATATTCGATGTAGTCACTTTTTTGGGTGCATTCAATGCATTCAACTCATAATGGTCATTCCGAGCATGCAATTCATGTCAAAATGGTATCAATCATCGCATATGATATTATGAACAAGAAACACATGGATTTGTAAACGATCATTCAAGTTTACTTTAATTTGAAAGATTTAGGGTTTAGTGATTTTGGGTTAGGGTTTAGGTTTACAATTTGGGATTTTTGATTGAGATTCAAAAATGAAGGTTAAGAGGTTAGGGTAATGGATTGATTAGTTGTGATTATATGTTATACAATCATATTAGGCTAATGCTACTAATTAAAATTCAAAATTCGATGTATTATGGCCACTTTTAGAATTGAATGCACCCAAAAAACCGAGTGCACCGAAGTAGCCACACACACACACACACACACACACATATATATAGTTCATGTGTTTCGAGAAGGCAATGTATTCGCGGATTATCTTGCATCACTCATCACTCGGCCATAGCCTACTTGTAGGAGACAGCCAATAGAGGCTCCCAATCCTGCTTTTAATTTCAGCTATCATCCGGGGCATATGGAAGGAAAGGAATGCAAGGGTTTGACGTAGCCAATCACAGATACTAGAGAGGGTGGTTCAAACTAGCTGGAGGTGTTAATGGATTGGCAAGTGGTAAAGATACGCAACATCCAGCAGTACAATCGACCTCAAACACTAATATGTAGCAAGTGGCATCCTCCTCTAGTAAACTATGTGAAATGCAATTGTGATGCAGCTTTATTTCCACTTAGGTGACAGGCTGGGGAAACAATGTCTAAGTAAGTACCCAACTTGTAATTAGTTAGTATAGTTGTTAGAGTAGTTTAGTTAGTTTAGTTTCTCAAAGTCAATCCTTGTTTGACTAAATAAACAAACCAAAGCGTAGCAATGATACACTTAGAGAGCCTAAGGTTCGATAATTTTGCAAATTACTTTACTTCCACTATACTACACCCGATCATTGGTGATCCATGGCCTTTGATTGGGAGAGTACTTTAGAGAGATATTATTAAAAGTACACCCGATCATTAGTTTACTTTCATTCTCAAAACCCTTAAATCTAAAACCATCTCCTCGTTTGGAATTTTCTCCCCCGTAAAAGTTGAAGATCTCAAAAAGTTATGCAGAATAAAAAAGTTGATACGATCGGATAATTGAGTAAAAAATTACGATCACTTGAAGCTTTGAACTATGTGAGGAGTAGATCACGAGGTCGTCAGCTATCTAGAGTGGATCGCGTGAGTTTGCCCCGATCAGGAGCGTTTTGCTTGGGTTGTTACCGAACCATGTCGATTTGGTGGCTAGTTCGCTTAGCTCTACCGCGATCCGAGCAATTCGGGGGTAGGTCGTCTTTTTTTTTTTTTGCAGCGAATTACCACACAGTTCGTTTGACACGGGAGCAAGCTGCTTCAAACTCTAGTATTCTGGGAATTTTTTTGAAAAGTGTTGTAGTGAGAATGTTTTTTTTTTAATATAACTCATGCATTTTATGATTTTTTCCACATAATTTTGGGTTAAACTATCACATTCAGTTAAAAAAAAAGTTATACATGCAGAACAAAACTTCCAGTACAAATTTTCATGCAACTAAATTTTTATACAACGTGTGAATATTTTCGTGTACATAAATTTATTGTATTGATTTACTCTATACATGGTGATTTGGGTAAGTGTGGAATTACTTAATTGTGTCTCTTGCTCATTAGTGTCATCTTGGATTGATGAAGATTCCTAAGAATTGATTATTTCATATTAGTGGAAGGAAAAAGTTTTTGTTCTGAACAAGATATTAAGGTAAGATTGGGCAGGGTGTTCTGAGGAATAAATAGGTAAAACCAGTTAGTTTGTCGAATTGGGTCAGACAAGTTAAATTTGGGTAATCCCGATCAAACCAATCTAGTTTCTCGAGTTTGACCACTTTTCCATCGGAATTGATCAGGTCCCGAAATTTTTTTTTTTTCAAAAACGGGTTCCTCACAGCCAGTTAGCTCATTGAGTTAGGTTCAACCCATTTCGATTGGCCATACACTTTTGATTCCTACAGATAGGAGGTCCATGCTCAAAAAGGAAATTTAAGAAATCAGAGTATTGATTTGGTAGTAGTTGATTTGTCATGATATTTTTGCACCATGAAAGCGACTTAGAGCACATTCAAAGAAAATAATGAATATTAGAAGCAGATAACCATTAGTAAACAGCTACAGCAATAAAATGTAGTGTTGGATAGATTATGAACGCAAACCTGAAGAAAGCAGAGAAATAAAAATGAGCAAGAGTGGGGTTCTTTCCGGTTCAGCAACCTTCTTCATCTCCTTCACCATACGCTTGATACTCCACAAGTTTTTCTTTCTATGGAAGTGTAGAGCACTATCAATAGAAAAGAACCAAAAATTAGAAGACAGCCAAATCCTTCCTCTTATAAAGGGGGAAGTGCACATAATTGGCAATCCACAAGTTTATGTAAACTTCCCTAAAATAAAATTTTATCAACATTGAAGGCCATAAGGGGTCCGCGGGATCATAGGATCTTCTAGTCCTTTTTCTCGGTCAAAATTTTCTTTAATTAATGCAAATTAAGAAGCAATGCACGAGAGAGAAAGTGCTTCTATACCGACCAAGAAGAGGAGGTAACTTTTGAATTAAAACTTGGGAACAGTTTTTTAGATCACTACCACATAAATAAATTTTTTTTTTTTTGCATTGCTAGGAGGCTAAAAGCCAAGAAAAAGAAGCTAGTACAGAGGGGTTAGGAAAGGAGAGAGGAGTTCGCCACTACTTGGCGCTCAAAAGTAATGCCCATAATGTCTTATTGAAGAATCGGGCCGATGCCTGGCGGTTGATCTACCAACTCATGCATACCGTAGGGATAGACGAGACTGTGTTTCGAGAGCCAGTCCACGGCTCTATTCCCTTCTCGGTATGTGTGAGATAGATTGACCAGCCAATCCAGACTCATCTTCCTGCGAATGAGTCCAAATAGAGTAGCGTAGAGATGAATAGGGTCAATCCGATTCTGAATTAATTGAATCGCTAATTGAGAATCCGAAGCATTTCTAACCGCGCAGAACCCAAGCTTCCAAGCGATCTCTAGTCCATAATAAATACCCCATAGCTCCGCTAGCCCTGCTGATGCCGCACCAATGTTGGCAACAAAACCTCCCATCCAGAGGCCCTGGTGATCACGAATAATCCCTCCAGCCCCAGCCGGCCCCGGGTTGCCATTTGAAGCCCCGTCAGTGTTAACCTGCACCCAACCAGAGGGCGGGTAATTCCACCCGATCTCCGCAGCTACACGCACCACCTGCTGACCCTTCTGACTCGGAAATAGCACCGGGGCATGCCAGGACTCTTTCCACAGCTTGCTCTTTGTTGTAATGGAATGCAAGAGAGATGGAGCTAACAAGGCCGCCCCGACGCCCTTAAAGGCTACTGTCGAGCGGTTCTTCCAAAGAAGCCAGATGGCGATGCTGAAGAATGTCGGCCAGTTGATACCTGAGAGGGACACCCTTTCACTGTTAAGATTGTCCCGAAGCCAAGAGTCTTGATCCCTTCCAAAGAAATCCGCTTGATGTTGCTGCGACACCTGTCTTGACCAGAAGTAGAGAGTCGGACCCCAATCCCTCAGGATGTGGATAATGGTCTCCGACCAATCAACAGGCTATTCTCCCCTGCATGACCAACCAAACAAAACTTCTGACCCGCCCCGGAACCGGGAGCCTCCATATAGTTTTCCAAATCTTATCACTAGGCTGCTGATTTTAACCTGTGATGAGGTCATAGGCAGAGTTGCAGGAAAAGCGCCCATCCGCCGTCGCTGACCAGAACAGATTGTCCTCCTCCCTGGACCACTTGCCAACAGTTCTGCTCAAAATCTTCTCACATATCTCAGGAGGAATGAATGCCTGGAAAGACTCAATGCGCCAGCTTCCGTCATCTCGAACTAAATCCGCTACCGCTGCCGACTCCAACTTCTCTGGGACGACACCAATCGCTCTCTCTTTCAGTGGAACCTGCAAAACCCACGGATCCAACCAAAACTTAGTACATTTCCCATTCTTAATATTCCACGCATAGCCTTGCTTGAGCAAGTTGGCAGCTTTGGAGAAGGTGCTCCAGGTGAAGGAACTTCCCTCAGATTTCTGGAGGATCTCCAATCCCTGACATCGAACTCCGTATTTGGAAATGAGAAGTTGAGACCACAAATTCTCTTTTTCTTGGATCAGCCGCCAATCGTTCTTGGCTAGCATAGCCAAATTTGCCTGCCGCGTTGGTTTGAGACTGATGCCTCCTTGCGCTTTGGCCATCGTCAGCTTGTCTCAAGCCACAAGATGCATCTTGGACCGATCTTCCTCATCTCCCCAAACAAAATCCCTGGTGATCTTGTCAATGCTCCTACAAACACCACTTGGGATTAGTTCAGTATTCATTGTGTACACAGGCAAGGATGCAGTAATAGATTTAGCCACGGTGGGGCGAGCCGCAAAAGAAAGTCGTTTGGCTTTCCAAGGCGCCATCTTTTTTCTGAATTCGAAGCAGCAGGGGCTGGTATCTCCCTTTGTTAACTCGTTCCTGAATAGCCTGTATCCCAAGATATCTGCCCAAGTCCGCCTTCAGAGGTATTCCTGCCTGAACACTCAGTTGTTTTGCTTTCCGTCTGGCAATGTTCGGGGACACAAAGAGGATAGATTTGTTGCTTCTCTGCCTCTGCAAATAGAAGGACATCATCTGCAAAGGAAAGATGAGTCAGAGGAGGCCCGGTACTAGTGATCTTAACAGGCTTCCACTTTCCTTCGGCAACCGCCTGATCAATTCTATGAGATAATCGCTCCATGCATAAAACAAAAAGGTAAGGCGAGAGCGGATCTCCTGTCTCACTCCGGGCGACGGGGTGAAGGCCTGAGATGATTCGCCATTCCTGAACGACAATTATGTTGTCTGTGGTTTGACGACCTAGAATGAAACTGCTCTGTCTAGGAGACACCAACTTCTTCATAATCGGCTTCAGTCTGCAGGTCATGGCCTTAGTAATGCTCTTGAGCCCAACATTATTGAGTGAGATTGGCCTCAGCTGGTTCACTCTATCGGGGGCTTCCACCTTGGGGATGAGAACCAGGGTGGACTCCGTAGCTGCCTCTGAAAGGGAACCTGTCAAAAAAAAAAAAAAAAAAGGAGATGGCCATGTCTGAAAAGGATTTCCCCACCACACTCCAGAATTGTTGGTAGAAAGCCGCATGGAATCCGTCTGGCCCGGGCCCCTGGAACGGTTTCATATCAAAAATGGCTTTGTGTATGTCCATGATGTTGAAAGGTCTGAACATGGCCGCCGCCTCTGCCTGGGATAACCGGGGAAATCATTCCTGGGGAGCTTGCTCTCATAAGGGAACCATCCTGCAAGTAAGTGTTAGTGAAAAAATAAAAAACAGGAGAGGCAAGAGATTAAGGATCAGTCACCCAAAACCATTGTCATTCTGTAGGGCCTCAATCTTGTTAACCCGTCTCCTGATGTTCACTTGTTGGTGAAAATAAACCGTGTTCCGCTCCCCGAATTTAACCCATTTATCTCTACACCGTTGGAACCATATAATCTCCTCTTGCTCCATGACCTTATCCAGCTCAGCTTCTAGTTTAGCGTGGAGTTTGGCCAACCCTGGGACAAAACTTGGAGCCAGCCTTCCCTCGATTCCCTTCAGCCGGGCCACTAGCCTCTTCTTCTTGAGCTTGATACTTCCAAAAGTGTTACATTCCACTCGGCTAGTTTACTAGAAAGCTTGGAGAGAGCATCCTGTAAGGGAACCAGCGGCTCCCATGACTCTGCCACCACACTCTGTCAACTCTCATTAGTAAACCAAGCAGCCTCAAACTTGAACTGACGGGGGATAGCTTGCGGCCCTTGATTCATTACCACCGACGTGAGAATCGGATTGTGATCCGATTGGAGTCGAGGTAGATGTAGTATAGAGGTGTTAGGAAAAACTGTGTTCCACCTCAGGTTGCAGATACTTCAGACGAGACGGCTGGCCTTGAAAGTTTTACGACAATCTCCTCTTGTCCAAGTAAACTTTGGACCCGAGTAGCCGAGGTCAACTAGCTCTGCCAGGTTCATCCATTCATTGAACACCTCACACCGTTTCAGGGTGTTCCTTGCCAGTGGCCTAGACCTCTCGTCCGGCGAGCTAATAGCATTGAAGTCCCTGGTGATCAGCCACGGGATGTCGATGTACTTACTCTGGGAGATCATGCTGTTCCAAAGCAGTTTCTGCTCACTATGCCGGGGGGAAGCGTATACTGTAGTCAAAATCCACTGTGGCCCATTAGCCTGAGACACCTGCAGTGAGATATGCTGGTTACAGGCGGAGAGGAGATGCGTTGTGAAGACCCCTGCATCCCAGATAATCCAAACACCACCCTTCCTCCCTTCTGCTTCCACGCGCATCGAGTTGGGAAACCCCAACTTGTCACAGACTGTGTTTGCCGAATCACCGCTGATCTGGGGCTCGAGCAACACTACAAAGTCCGGCCTTTGATCCTGAATAATCATTTTCAAAGGGCGGGCGAAGGCTCTACTACCTGCGCCACCAACATTCCACGAAAGTATTTTTAACATATACATTATTGACATAGCAAAACAGAAGAAAGAAATGAGGGATCCAAAAAGCCAAGATAGCATCAGATCAGTGTCTGAGATGCGCCATTCAGGCTATCTGTGGGCTCTTTGGTACCGCCTGTGTCAGTTCCTGCCTTCTCCCCTAAGCTTCCAGAGACTTCTTTTGCGGCTGCCGTCCACGCATTGATTTCCTGTAGTGTTGGCGAAGCAATACGGGCCTTAGATTTAGGTTTTCTTTCTTTCATGGGGGACCAAATTTGCAGCGGCTTCGTATGATGAAACTTTGTTGGTGACTTCTTGCTCGCTGACTTCTTGCTCTTGCTTCGCTTGGTTCTGGTGGCCACCGACGGAGAGGGGTTGTACGAGTCATTGCCGGTGCCGCTCGGCTTCTGTGGAGTCTCAACAATATGCATAACAGTGCCATTCTCTCTGGTCACTGTGCGAATAGGGGGTGGTGGTGGAAGTTTGGCAGTCGCCTTCTCAGGGCCTGCCGATCCACGTCGGGTTGGGTCTGGGCCTATAGACGAAGTGGTTTGAAAACCCGCCTCGATACATGAGGAGGAAGCCCTATTGAAAGGACTGGATGACCCTGAATAATTGTTGGTGGGCTTCTGGTGACTGGGCCCCGATCCAAGGACTCCCTTTCCTTTCCCTGAAGCATCTTTTCCTGCCTTTTCTTTGCCACGTTTTGTCTCTGAGTTTCCTTTCTTACCAATTGGGATTTTCTTCTCAGGAGAAGTCGCAATCGATGCCATGGGACCGTAGAGTCTTTTCTGTAGATGTAAGTCTCTGGAGGGTCTTTTATAGACGTTTTTGCTTTCCCCTTTGAGGACCAGCTTCCTTATTAAGGTTCCCTGAATCACTCTACAACTTTCCTTTTCGAGGATCTTCCTTGGAAATCCTCCGGCTTTTCCTAGTCACCAACATCCATGGCGCAAAGCCAGGATTGCTGTGCGCCGACGACGTTGCTGAGGCCGACTCCGGTGAGATCGTCAAGCTGTGTAGCGATAGAGATTCTCCAATTTCCGGAAAGGCCAGCATAGGTGCTGGTTGATTATCCGGGCAAATACTCCGATCATGCCCAATTTTCCCGCACTGGAAGCAAATTTCTGGTCGGTTCTCGTATTCCACCTTCTGCCTTTCATCATCCAGCCAAATCCGGGGCACCAGGTGTTTACCTAAATCCACCTCGACCGCTAGCCTAGCAAACTTTGCACGTTGCTGGGTGAGGGTATGGTAATCAAGCTTGATTGTTCTTCCAATGAGATTCCCCAAGCTGGTCAGGATCTCTTTGTCGTAGAAATGAATTTTCAGGGCAGGGAGGTGCACCCACACTATCATCGTCTTCGGGAGCGGGTCTGATAGACCGTCATTTACACATGTTTTTACCCCCGTTCTTACACCGTTTGAGGTGTTGATTCTCGTGTTTTAGGCCGATTTCACGCTAGGTTGTGCTTGTTTGTGATGTTTCAGGTCCTAGTACGTGAATGAAGGCTTAGGAGCGAGTCTGGGGTCGATTGGACGAAGAACGGACGAATAGCGAGGTTTTTGGGGAGCTGCACGGGCAGACCAGGGAGGCTGCACGGCCGTGCACGTGAGCAATATGGCCGTGCGCCTTATGCCGAGGACACGCACGGGCAACCCCTGAAGCTCGCACGGCCGTGCACCCTGGCCGTGCGAGAGGGCTGAAGTTCGACTAAATGCCACGCTGCGTTTTGAGTTGCACGGCCAGAATGGTGATATGCACAGCCGTGCACCCTGGCCGTGCGAGTCGGGAAATCTGGTTTTATAGCCTATTCCGAGCAAAAAGTGGAAGGATCGAATTTCTGGAGCAAAAAACAGAGTTTTAGAGAGAGAAAGTGCGAAGAACTCACCCTAGAAGCCATCTTGGAGCTGGGTTTCATCAAATCAAGCTTGGAGATCGTCCTAGGAGTGGAAATCATCATCCCGGAGCAGATTATCCTCATCATTATGAGTATGACTACTCCGATTACTGTTTTCTTTTCTCTCTCTATGGAGTAGAACCTCTCTCTCACTTGGGGATGAAGAACCCTAGTTCTATGTGTTAGGGGATTGATTGTAATGACTTGGGATGATATTACTGTTTGATTATAATCGAATGATGCATGTTTATTGAGTCAATTGAAGTCTGATCAACTTTTCCTGATTCCTGCTACAATCTGAGATAGATAGAATCTGATTGGGTTGCTAGAGTCTCATCATTCGATAGTAGGAGACTGGTTATACGAGAGTTAGCCAGTTTACTGCTCTGTACTGGAATCTAATTCCAGTAGTGAATTTCTGTTCTTACTGCTTCAGCTTTCTATCCCGGTGAAGACTAGTCGTCTGCCGGGTAGTTAGACTGAGAGGGCTTGGTCAGCTTAAGAGATTCCAAGCTACTGCCGGATCTTCCGCAGTCTAATCAACAGTAAATCAACCCAGGGTAAATTGCAATTGAAACCTAACTAAAGAGCTAGGGGGATTCATTCCCGAGTGACTCTTTCCTGCTTAAGAAAACCGAACAATTTCCTGCTTTTAGTTTAAACAACAATCACTTACTCTAGTTGGCTAGATAACAGAGAATCACTGAGTAAGCAGTAGATCTAGAGCCCGGGTTGATAATATAACTTGCCTGTTACTGCATTCCCGGTCTGCGATTACACTTGGTCGCAGATTGGTGTTGTGTTTTGGCGTGTCAAGTTTTTGGCGCCGTTGCCGGGGAACCCTCTAGGTTATTGGGGAAACGTGAGAATTTGTTACTCTAGCTTTTTATTTACTGCATTTTATCTCTTCCACCTGTGTGCCTTCACGGGTTGTTTCTGCTGATTGTGTGCAGGTAGTGCATGACCCGTAGCCAGTCGGGAGATCTACTACCACTAGACCAGGAGCTTGAACGAACCTGCAGAAACTTCAAGCAGGCTCTAAAGGCGCGACTGGCTGCGGAGGAGGCGCTATCACAGCTGCAGTTAGAGGAGGAAGAAGAAGAGATGGCTGAACCAGGGAACCATGCTGTGATCCCCGAGGAGCAGACCATGGGCTCCTACTGGACCGCTAGGGCTGCGGACATGAGGTCACCCATTCAGCACCCTCAGGTCCCAGCCAACAACTTTGAGGTGAGCACCTCCGTGATCACCATGCTGCGCGGTTCAGTAGTGTTCCGTGGTAAGGAGGGAGAGGGCCCTCGATCACATCTCAGGCGATTCCACGAGCTCATCGATGGAATCAAGATCAATGGGGTACCAGCAGATGCCATCCAGCTGAGGTACTTCCCATTCACTCTGGAGGGGCAGGCCAAGGAGTGGCTAGACACTCGATCTCCGGGCTCCATCACCACGTTCGCCAACCTGGCGGACAAGTTCCTCACCCGCTACCATCCTCCATCCAAGACAGCTGACCTGCATAAGCAAATTACACATTTTGCTCAGGATGAGGATGAGACCATCAGGGATGCATGGGAGAGGTACAACAGTCTTTTCCTCAGGTGTCCCAATCATGGTTTCAACGATGCGTTCAAGGTGGGCACCTTCTATCACGCCCTCTTCCCGGAGGACAAGCAGCTGATCGATTCGGTTTGTGGCGGGAACATGCTGACCAAAACCCCGCCACAGCTGAATCAACTCTTTGAAGAGATGGCGGAGAATGGTTATGATTGGGGCACTGCCAGGAGATCGAGGAGAGCACTAGGCCGGGGTGTGCATGCTGTGGGCACCCAGTCATCTGATTTGGTGCAGGTAGTATCGAAGCTGGTCTCAGCTATCGATCGTTCCCGGATGATTCCAGGGACCGGACAGCAGCAGGCGATGCTCTGCCAGTGGTGCGAGAGCACCCATCATATGGTGGAAGACTGCCAGGCGATGAAGGAATCGACCACACCCCAGGAGCAGGTGAACTTCATCAACAATGTCAGGCGCAATGAGCCCTACAGCAACACGTACAATGAGGGGTGGCGCCAGCATCCTAACTTCTCCTGGGCTGGGCCAAATCCCAGACCACCAGCTCCACAGGGACCACCGGGCTTCCAGAGGCCACCATATCAGCACAGACAGGGGCAATTCCAGCAGCCAGGTGCAGCCCCTGCTGCCCCAGTGCAGAATGATCAGATGGCTGAACTACGGGACTTGGTGGGTTCTCTTGCCAGTGTTAGTGCTCAGAAATTCAACACCTTTGAGCAGTTCATGGAGAAGGCCTCGGGTCAACTCCTGGCTCTGGAAGCTGGTCAGAGGAATACACAGGCTGTTTTGCAGGATATCCAGACCCAGCTGGGGAGCGTGGCCCAGGCAGTGGCTCAAAGGGCTCCTGGTACTCTACCAGGGCAGAACATCCCTCACCCGCCGAACCCGAATGAGCGCTGCAATGCCATCATGACCAGGAGTGGCAAGATGACTGTTGATCCCCCTGCTCGGGAACCGGAGAAAGAAAGCCCTGTCTTAGCGGCTCCAGCGGTTGAACAGGAAGTAGAGAAGGAAGTTGAGGTGCCTGCACCTAAACCGCAACCAGTAGTGAAGGAGTATGTCCCTAAACTCCCTTTCCCTACTCGGTTGCACAAAGACAGGCTGGAGGCAGAGTTCGAGAACTTCATGGCCATGCTTAAGAAGCTGAATGTCCAAGTGCCCTTCCTGGAGGCATTATCGCAAATGCCAAAGTATGCGAAGTTTCTGAAAGAGCTTCTCTCAAAGAAGCAGAAGCTGAGTGAGCTGGCCACGGTAGAGCTCAGCGAGGAATGCTCGGCTATTCTGCAAAACAAGCTTCCGCAGAAGAAGAAGGACCCAGGTAGTTTTACTATCCCGTGCTCTATTGATAAATTGCATGTAGAGAAGTCCTTGGCGGATTTAGGTGCTAGTATCAATGTTATTCCATATAAATTGTTCATGAAACTAGGCCTAGGTGAACCCCGTGCTACTAGGATGACCCTTCAATTAGCTGACAGATCTGTAGTGCATCCTAGGGGTATAGTGGAAGACCTTCTGGTTAAGGTTGGCAAATTCACATATCCCGTGGATTTTGTTATCTTGGACATCAGTGAGGACACAGAAGTGCCTCTTATACTGGGAAGGCCTTTCCTGGCCACCGCCAAGGCTCTCATAGATGTGCATGATGGAACCTTAGTTTTGAGGGATGGCGAGGAGCGAATAACGTTTTCTGTTGCTGATACTATACCTGCTTCGTCACCTCTGCATGCTGTATCTCACCAGGAGCACGAGTCTGTCGTGTATCCTTCTGTGCTGCCCATTTTGCAGGAACCGCCTCCCACACCTTCGCCGCCACTCCGGACCACTCCGTCACCCAAAGAACAGATCAAGGAGGAGTGGCGGCCGAAACTGCAGGCAGCTAAGCCTGCTCGAAAGAAAGCCGGAGACCACTATGACCTGGTCCCGCCCCCTCCTTGGCCATCCGAGTATTCACTCGCTTGCATCCTACCGGATGGCCAAGTCGAGCTGGCGAATGCAGGTGGCCACATTCGTCGCGTGCATGGCCGCCATTTGAAGCTGTACCTCAAGAGCGATGTGGATCCGCTCTTGAAGGCACCTGATCCTACACTTCCCTGAGCATCCATACTGGCGTCCAGCTAAAAGACGGTAAAGAAGCGCTTGTGGGGAGGCAACCCCACTGAGGTTTGCATTTTCTTACTCTTTTTCCTTTGATTTTGTGTGTTTTTGAGTCTTGAGACGTTGATCCAGAGTCCAGTGTCGTTTTTGAGGGAAAACAGGTTGATTTCGGGACTCCAACAAGTCGCACGGCCAGGACCACAACTTGCACGGCCGTGCGGGCAGCCCCCTTGGCCGTGCGAGCTCTCGGCCAAAAGCGCACGGCCAAAAGCGCTTATTGAACGGCCGTGCGCTCGTCCTGGCCTGCCCGTGCGTCTTGCACGGGCACCATAATGCCTCGCATGGCCGTGCGGGTATTCCCCCTTGGCCGTGCGAGCTCTCGGTAAGGATGGCACGGCCATATGTGCCAGGTGCACGGTCGTGCGCTTCTCCTCGGCTAGGCCGTGTCGGCTGCACGGGCAAAAACCAGCCTTGCACGGCCGTGCGCCCCTGCCCGTGCAGCCGAGGCACGGCCTATTTATATGGCCTGCACGGCCATTGTGGTCAGAAAACCAAAACCACTCGCCGGAATCCTCTGCCCTCGCCAGAAAACCGCGCAAAACCCACCTTTTTCGATTTTTGCTATGGATGTGAACCTTGAGTTGCCTATTTTCTTGTGAATGTGCACCCCCACCCTGATTCTGCTTGATTTATCGAGATTTTGACCCCCGAACTATGGATGAAACCATGGTTAGGCTGTTTTCTGTTCTTAAGTGTGGGGGTGCGCTTGACCTTTTTCTTTGGCTCTTTTGGGTTCCACTTTGGGTTGTTGTTTTGCAGGGCAATGGCGAAACCTAATTTCCAGCACCCGTTCATCCGGGATCTGAGGAGGGGACCCACCGCAGAGCGCTTCAAGGAGGTCGTGGAAACCCCGTTTGGGTCACACCATTGCTGGTCCAAACGGGAGTTTCGGCGATTGCACTGCTACGAGCAGCTCTCCGCCGCGGTCGCCAACACAGCCTGGCGCCGTGTGCTCCAGCTCTGCGAGAAGGTCTACTACGAGCCGGTGTGGGAGTTCTACACGACCTTCAAGCACAATACCACGGACAACTGGCAGGACGGTACGGCCGTCCAATTCAGGCTGGGTGGGGTCCCCCGGTCCTTGAGCTACCACGAGCTGGCCGAGGCTCTCGACCTCGACCTCGACGACCGTGAGGACTACGTCACCGAGGTGAATGAGCCACCGGAGGTGGACTTCGGGAGGCTGTACACCAGCCTGGCTCGGCCAGGCCAGACGCGTCCCTTCCGGTCAGGGAGGACGAAGGCCTCTACCCTGCAGATCGACAACCGACTTCTCCACCACCTGCTGGCGAAGTCTTACACTCCTGCAGCTGACAGCGCCGGCGCCATCACGAAGAGGCCCCTGTACTTCCTCCATTCGATCCGCCAGCGCCGCCATCCTCTCCACCTGGGTTCAGTGGTGGCCAAGACCTTCGAGAAGACGGCCACAGAGCTGAAGAGCCTCCACTGCGCCCCCCTCATCACTCGCCTGGCCACCTTCTTTGGCCTTTCACTGCAGGGGTGCACCGAGGAGGGGGACACCCTCATCTTTGGCAGCACGACGATCAGGAAGATGCTGCTGTTGCGGGAGAGGAACGGTGTTCAATGGGTCGATGGGTTTCCGGAGCCTCCGATCCCCGCGGAGCCCGTACCAGAGGAGGAGGAGGCTGCCGATGAGGTGGATCCCGAGGAGGTGGGTGCTGCTGCTGATGCTGCTGATAATCCCCCACAGACTGACTTCCATTTCGGGGGTAGCAGCTCCGCTTTCCAGGGCCAGGATTACTTCGCCCAGCAGTTCGAGCAGCTGAGGATCCAGAACCAGCTGCTCCTCGATCAGCAGATGCAGTTCCATCAGCAGTATGCGGCCGACCAGGCCGAGTACCGGACCAGGATGGATGCTTATGACGAGCGGCTGAACACGATCCAGACTCAGCAGGGCGTGACTCTTGCCCACATCGAGCGGGAGAAGCGCCGTTCCCGGCGCATGCAGGAGGTCCAGCAGCACCTGCTCCAGCTGCTCCCGGGCGAGCCACCTGTCTGGAGGACTCCCTGGGATGACTCCCCTCCACATGACGGTGCTACTGGCGCTGCGGATGATGACGCATTCATGAACGACATCGACCTCAACGATCTTGGCGACGAGTAGGCTGTACTCGTTGCCCGTCTCAGTGTGTTTTCTTTTTCATTTTAGACTTTTGTGTGTTTGCTCCATGTGTGCGGAGCTTGAACTTAGTGTCGTTTGTTTTTGTTTTTGGTTTTTCCTTTGTGGTTTGATGTAGCCGTCTGGGCTAACACTTATCCCTAACGCACAGTGTGCTAGTGTGTTTCTGATGTTCGATTTGTGCAGCATTGTCCACTCTCCCGTTCGTTTCTCGCTGACTGGTCCACTTCCAGTCCCCCAGCAGTGTTCCTACCCGGTAACATCGTTCCCCTTATCTTTCCCTCTGCTCCATTGAGGGCAATGTCGTTCTTAAGTGTGGGGGGATGCTTTGTATCGGTTGGGATATTTATGATAGTGCTTGGAGCCTAGTCCGCTGTCCGAATCTTACGATTTGAGGGCTCCAAGTACTGCTGTTTGATCATATTGGCACTGTGTTTTGATGGATGAATTGATTGGTTTTCGGATTAATGCATGACAACTTGTTTGCGACTAGGACAACCTATGATGAGGACTGAGATGTGCAGTAGAACGATGTAGGGGTTCAGTTTTTCAACTGTTTGCTTGACAACTGTGACTTGATCTGACTTGATCTGATTACTTGTCCTTGACAGTCGTTTATGCATCTAGTTCAGGGTATCAGAATGTGAGATAGAGCATATAGGTAGCCATGTGAGATTTGAGCCTGCTCGTTTCTTTCTTGTGCGATAGATCCCTCTTCCATGATGTGTAGCATTCACGTTGTCACTAGCTAAGATGATGGGGGCATAGGATTAGCCCACGCCCAAAACTGACTGTCCTGATGTGTCATATCCCCTAGTCAACCCTTTTTGAGCCGTGTGTCATCCTTTCTTTTGGTCTATAATGGAAAGAAATCACCCTTGTTGCATCTTTTAGAAGGTTCCACAGAGTGGTTTTTATATATTCTCTGCTGTTTCTGCTAAAGTCTATGTGAGTGTTGGAGGTAGTGCTTAAAAGTTGGGCGGATGTTTGAAATATGTGCAGGAGTGGTGGCTCTCTTAAGAAATGAAAAGAAAAATAAAAGAAAAACAAAGAAAAATTGAAAGCAAAAGAGAGCCACTACTAAAAATCTGAATAATGCCCAGTAAGTAGTGTTTCTTAGCAGTCTGGCTTGGAAATGCTGATGTTTATGCCTCCTTCGCTCTTGTGCTCTTAAGATATTGAGTAATGCAGAATAGCAGAAAGAAAATACCGGTTTGTTTGACTGTGATTGTGTGTTCGGGAAATGTGGAACCTTTTGCTATGAATACTTCCACCACCTAAAAGGCCTTTTCCCCATGTCCAAGACCCTAGCCAGTCATTTGAACCTGTGTCTAAGACCTCCTGATTAGTTAGTGGTGACACCCCATATGTGAACTCTAGCATTTAGAGGCTGCCATCATGGTGAAGAGATGATAGGGATTGAGAGAAATAGCATGCGCATCTTTCGCATCAAATTGTCCTGACCCCACTGGTCGAGAGTGAGTGATTCATTTTCATTTTCTATATGCTCTTGTACCCCGGTGAGGACCTAGATTGCTCGGTCTCTATTCTGATGTCTTGAGTTGGATGCATGAGTTGACTGTTTTAAGTAAGTGGTTGAATCAAGTCTAGGTTGGCCAGTGAACAGACGGGAGACTCTTCCTTTACTCGATTTGCTGCACTCGAATGTACTTTGTGGTGGTTGTCCAGGTTGTTATTGAGGTTGTGCATGTATTGATGTTTGAAAACCAGTGCGATTCACGTGTTCTGTGCCTTTATGACTTGTCCCCAATGTTGGTTGATTGAAATATGTAAGCTTACCTAGTGTCTGACTTGGTTTGCTTGGGGACAAGCAAACGGTTAAGTGTGGGGGAGTTTGATAGACCGTCATTTACACATGTTTTTACCCCCGTTCTTACACCGTTTGAGGTGTTGATTCTCGTGTTTTAGGCCGATTTCACGCTAGGTTGTGCTTGTTTGTGATGTTTCAGGTCCTAGTACGTGAATGAAGGCTTAGGAGCGAGTCTGGGGTCGATTGGACGAAGAACGGACGAATAGCGAGGTTTTTGGGGAGCTGCACGGGCAGACCAGGGAGGCTGCACGGCCGTGCACGTGAGCAATATGGCCGTGCGCCTTATGCCGAGGACACGCACGGGCAACCCCTGAAGCTCGCACGGCCGTGCACCCTGGCCGTGCGAGAGGGCTGAAGTTCGACTAAATGCCACGCTGCGTTTTGAGTTGCACGGCCAGAATGGTGATATGCACGGCCGTGCACCCTGGCCGTGCAAGTCGGGAAATCTGGTTTTATAGCCTATTCCGAGCAAAAAGTGGAAGGATCGAATTTCTGGAGCAAAAAACAGAGTTTTAGAGAGAGAAAGTGCGAAGAACTCACCCTATAAGCCATCTTGGAGCTGGGTTTCATCAAATCAAGCTTGGAGATCGTCCTAGGAGTGGAAATCATCATCCCGGAGCAGATTATCCTCATCATTATGAGTATGACTACTCCGATTACTGTTTTCTTTTCTCTCTCTATGGAGTAGAACCTCTCTCTCACTTGGGGATGAAGAACCCTAGTTCTATGTGTTAGGGGATTGATTGTAATGACTTGGGATGATATTACTGTTTGATTATAATCGAATGATGCATGTTTATTGAGTCAATTGAAGTCTGATCAACTTTTCCTGATTCCTGCTGCAATCTGAGATAGATAGAATCTGATTGGGTTGCTAGAGTCTCATCATTCGATAGTAGGAGACTGGTTATACGAGAGTTAGCCAGTTTACTGCTCTGTACTGGAATCTAATTCCAGTAGTGAATTTCTGTTCTTACTGCTTCAGCTTTCTATCCCGGTGAAGACTAGTCGTCTGCCGGGTAGTTAGACTGAGAGGGCTTGGTCAGCTTAAGAGATTCCAAGCTACTGCCGGATCTTCCGCAGTCTAATCAACAGTAAATCAACCCAGGGTAAATTGCAATTGAAACCTAACTAAAGAGCTAGGGGGATTCATTCCCGAGTGACTCTTTCCTGCTTAAGAAAACCGAACAATTTCCTGCTTTATTTCTGCTTTTAGTTTAAACAACAATCACTTACTCTAGTTGGCTAGATAACAGAGAATCACTGAGTAAGCAGTAGATCTAGAGCCCGGGTTGATAATATAACTTGCCTGTTACTGCATTCCCGGTCTGCGATTACACTTGGTCGCAGATTGATGTTGTGTTTTGGCGTGTCAGGGTCTGATGCCTTGAACCGAGAAGTCCATTGCTGAACCACCTGGTAGTGGTCATAGATAACCCAAGGGCCATCCGTGAGCACGCGGTAATAATCTTGTTCGCTGTCCAAATTGACTAGAAAGTAGTCGTGATCAAGGTCCTTCACCTCCATGTTCCCCTGCGGCCGCCACAGACCCTTGAGCCGATTGCATAGATTGGTAAACACAATCCGCAACCCTAGAAGGCGGAAAACCAGAGCTCTATGCCACGGTGCACAGATCTTGGATTTGAAGTCCGCTGAAATCGTCAGGACTGGTTCGCCATTATGTATACCGGACACCAAAACATGTTCCCCCACCGGCATCCATAGGCGCACTTGATTCTGAGGAGGGATCGTGGGCATCTTTCCCATAACCGCTGCTGCATAAGAGAAGAGTTGTTGGCGAGCCCCTGTTGCCTCTTGGTCTGATCGATCTTGCGTCGTCCCGTTCGCTATGCCCTGTAGAGACAAAGACAGAGGATCGGAATCAATAATCATGTTAGAGGAGAGCGTGGTTGAAACTACGTTGGCTGGTGTAGAAGCTGAAACGGCTATCACCGGGTGGCTAAGTGGGTCCGATGGTCGATCCGATGGAAGGGGGACTAGCGCCGGCGCCGTGGTTCCGCTGAAAGCAGTTGAGAGCATTTTAGGGTTCCGCCTACCACCTAAATTAATTACAATACGATGAAATTAGCTTTCTTTTCGCTTACATTTGTTGTTTTTTTGGATGAGAAAATGCCTCATTTATTACAGCTCTCTAGTTAAATTTTCAGTTCTGTCATAGTGCTTAATGAATTTAGATCCTTAAACTCTCCTTAATAGGGCTGATAAATGGTTATGGCATTAACAGTGTAAGCGATAACCGAACCGAAATCAGTGCTTAACGGTTACACCGATAACCGATTAAATAGTAAACGATCGGTTCTCGGTAGTCAAATTTGGCTAATAACTAACCGATGGTTAAACTGTTAATAATCGACGGTTAAACGGTTAACCACTAACCGATTATGACCATCCTCATAGTTAGGGCCGCAAATAATGGACCTCCATGAGCCACAAACGTAGGCAAGAAATAATGGGGTGCTTGAAGACTTACAAGACCCCTTACCTAGCGTAATTGTAATAGTGATTTAGACTCAAATGAGAATAATTTAAAGGAAGAGTTTTAGAAGGAGCACAATAGAAAGTCAGACTTGCGTACAGTTGCTTGACAATAATTAGTAACATTAAGCTTCCATGTAATTTGGTGGAGTTTACGAGTTGAGTAATTGTTGTTGGATCTCTTATCGTTGTATGTTTCTTTAATAAAGTTTGACGGTAGAATGATATTATTGTGTACTTGTGTTGGATTGAGTTGATTATATATTGATATATATCTAAGTACCATTATTTTGTATTCAATAATAACAACTTAAGAAAAGAACACATGTGTATGCATTAAAAATTATATAAAATTTCACCATTGAAAAAAGAAGATCATTTGTTGGTAAGGTTATCGATCGGTTATTTTGGTATAACCTTGCCAAATTACTTGGTTAACGATTATCCGGTTAACAGACAAAATAACCAAGAACCGACTATACGGTTACGGTTAATCGACTAATTTAAACGGTACGGTTAATTGTAAGTACAATGTGCTTAATGGTTAACCGAGAACCGACTAAACGTTTCGGTTAAACCAAACCGAACTGATTATCAGCCCTACACCCTACAAAACAAAATTGCGTGTAGCGAGGGTTTTTTAATCTATAGCAGGGTTATAACCCTGTTACTACTCGTAGCAATGATTTTTGTCCACCCTTGGCGGAAGTCCCATGCCACAGTTGTAGCAAAAGTGTTAGCCCTGATTGTTATAACCGCCCTGCTATGGATCAGGAAATCGGAGAATTCGACAAGGCAAGAAAATGAAAACAGAAAGCACATGACACACTATTTACGTGGTTCACTATCACAATGTGTGTTAGCTAGTCCATGGGCAGGAGAGAGCCAGTTTTCACTATATCGAGGAGATTACAGTTTACAGGGAAGTATGAGAAGTATTTATAGTACTTCTCCTAGGTCTAACCCTAATCCAATCTGGTAAAGGAAAAGTAGTTGCAAACCAGGCCCAGAACCCGAACCGAAATAACATTGAGCCCATAATAGCGAGACCCCCGTGACTTCCAGTCGTAGCGGCTGATAGTCTGATTCAAGTCACATCAACAAATCTCCACCTTGACTTGAATCCTCTTCCCCTGAAATCTTCGATTTACTCTGCTCATTCTCTCTCTTGCTATCAATGCTCCGTAGGGCGGAGTCACCCCCTCAAGACATTCAGCAAGTACAAGCAGTGTTGGAACTTGCCATGTGGAACCGACGTCGTGAACAAGTCAGCAGGATTGTTCGTGGTGCCAACCTCCTTCACCTTAATCCTCTTCTCTGTCCTCAAGAAATGATACCTCACATCGATGTGCTTAGTCCTCTCATGATGGACTTGATTCTTGGCCAAGCATATTGCACTCAATCTGTCGCAATACACCACTGCCTGATGATGACTAGACCTAGATCACCAACCCCTCCCTTCAACTATATTCCCTCCTTAGTAGCTTTGGTCAATGCCATATACTCTACCTCAAGTGACAATGTCACCGCCGACTGCAGAGTTACCTTCCAGCTCACTGCAGAATTACCAAAAGTTAATACGTAACCGGTTATCGATCTCCTCGTGTCATCATCTCCAGCATAGTCCAAGTCTAACTACGTAGACACCACGCACTCTGTATAACTTCCAAAACTTATCCCCACATCATATGTACCCTTAAGATACTGGAAGATCCTCTTCACAGCCTGTCAATGCTCCTTCCCAGGTTGTATCATGAACCTGCTGACAACACTAACAGCGAGACCCCCATGACTTCCAGTCGTAATGGCTGATAGTTCGATTCAAGACACATCAACACTGGCTAATTTAGCAAGTGCTCTAAACCTCTACTACATGTTAGTGTAAAATACAATAAGGATACCATGGGTTGTAACCCTTGAAAACTTATTTCTAAAGGAAACAAGAGTTACAATCGTTGCTATACGACATAGATTAAGTGACCAAATGTCAGTAGTGTCGCGAAAGGGAAAATCTCTCAAGCATAGTTACTTTCTCACGAACTCAAGCAGGGTCGCATGTAGGAAGGCATTGTAAACATGCTCCATGCAACCCTTGGTCCTCGTTGTCTGTTTCCGTGTTCTTGTTGTTATGTTGTTCAGTTATTTGTGGTTGCCCCTCGTAATGCACTTGATCTTGCTGTCAGGAACTGGTAGGAAAGAATCGATTGAAGGCATGATTGATTCACTCTCCTTAGAGTGTTATTTGATCCCACTTCAAATTATTGGTAGGCTCAAGCAAACCACACCCAGGAGTCCTTTTAATTCAAAATTTGGAAATAGCTGCAGACTTTTGTATTTATGAAATAGAGAAGGAAAACAGGAAGAAGAAGTATTATCTCGTCTGAAAAAGAGTTTCCGAAGAATTCTCTCTTATTGAAAAGAGTTATGGCAGTCATCTATTTATACTTGTGAAAACTGGAAGTTACCTTCCGAAGAGACACATCCTTTCACAGAAAAAGTTAGTTACCTTTCCGGAAGGACACTTCTTTTCACAATATTCAAATATGAATTAATTAATATAAAATTAATTAATTAATGAAATTGCCAAAAGACTCAATTCTTATACTTTCCTTCTCCCATCAATATGGCATTACAACTCTATTGACTAACTCTAAACAATCCCTTACTTAGTTAACAAGAGTTGATAATACCGTCTCCAAACAAGTAATGCATACATAAATGTATCTTTGCGATTTGAAACTTTACTTAGTGTAATCCACTCAAAGTTAATAACAAATCAATGAAGGGCTTAAGCCTAGGAGTCACGATCCAAAGCTAGAACTGGAGATGCCACACGCTTACTTGTCTATTCTCTAAACCACAACCACCAACAAGGATAGCACTATTATGGCCATGTGCTGATCCTGTGTCATGAGCATAAACAAAAATTTACCTCTACTTTTATTAGAGCGGCACTCACTTAATGCTCACATAGGTGACATTCCAAATGAATTCAGAAGTAACGTCGATAAGCTGGTCGATACACGACAGGGGGTATGGGTCCCCCGGGCATACCTTGTTGAGAGTTTTGTAGTCAACACACATCTGCCACGCTCCGGAAGATTTTTTGACCAACACTACGTTGGCAAGCCAGGTAGGATACTTGACTTCTCGGATTAGTCCCGTTGCGAGGAGTCGCATGACCTCTTCTTCAATAACGTTCGCCTGGCTTGCTAGCGCGGCTGGTCGGCTCTGCAGTATTGGGAACCGCTAGAATGTTTTGCGCCACCGTCCTTAGTACCCTCGGCATGTCTTCGGTGCACCATGCGAACAACTCCTTGTATTTCTGTAGTAGCTTGACGAGCGGCTCGACCATGTAATTGGGTAGATGCATTGAGATGCGCACCTTATTGGCGGGCTGTGTTGAGTCTAGCGCAACCTCAAAGTCAGAGTCTACAGACTCAGGAAGCGGGTCCTCTGCCGTCATGTCGATGATGTTGGTTTGGCACGCCGAAGATGGTGTTCTTGTCGTTCTCCAGGGCCATCCACGCGACTCTCGGGTCCCGACTTTGGTGGGTAACTTGAGCTTTTGGTGGTACGTGGATGGTATGGCCGTAAACTTGGCTAGGAATGGCCTTCCTAGGATGCCGTTGTGGGCGTATTGCAATCCACGTTGGTGAACTAAATTTTTTTTGAAATCCGCGGCTCTTCGTCCCCGATCACGACCGACAAGGTTATCACCCTGATTACCGCCACCCGAGTGTCTAAAAATCCTGCTAAGTTTCCTTTCACATCTTTGATCATGCGCTCTTGTCCAGAGTGATTTTGAACAGGATGTCCCCAGCACTTCCTCCGTCTACCAGTAGACGGTGGACTTTTCACACCACCACCAGTGCTGTGATGGTGAGCGGGTCCTCTGATGGAGTTCCTTGCGGAAGCTCTGTGCCATCAACCCCCATGTTGCACTTCGGCAGTATATCTCTTGCCGCGCACTCCATCGCGCGGTACCGCTTTGTCTTTTTCTACGGTCTGCCTCCTTCGATCGTGACGACCCCTATTTCTTTTCGCACGATCTATGACTTGTTGCTCTCATTGTATTTATGTTGTGGAGGAGGCGGGAGTGTAACGCCTCTTTCCTTCTGCTCATCTGCTTCCTTTATGCATTCCGCCAGACATCCTCTCATTAGCAGTGCCTCAATTTCTACCTTGAGGTTGAAGCAATCCCCTGTCATGTGACCTGTCTCCCTATGGAAGTCGCAATACTTCTTGTGGTCGCGTATGTGGGGCGCGACTTGCACTGGAGCGGGCCAGTTGAGGCGGTAACCGTTTTCGTGTATGCGGTGAAATACGTTCTTCACTGTGTCGTTAAGAGGGGTAAAGGTGTATGGCGATCGTGGGTCTGGGAACGAAAACGTGATATTGGCTTTGGATGGGGGCTGCTTGCCCCGCTGTGACGTTGCATGAGCTGGTCTATGGAGGGAGCTGCCTTTGACCCTGATTCTCCCTTGTTTGTCCCTCGAATCATCGTGGTGCCTTCGCACCAAATGTTTCCTCGAGGGTGATAG